TTAATAATATAAATTTTAAAATGGGTTTTGTATAGTAGATTAATGGATAATAAATATTCATCCATTCAAAATAATGTATGGGTGGAAAAAGGTATGTTTTCTAGAGAAGCATAATCTTATACGTATTCGTATTATACTTCAAAACATTATAATCAAATATACCTAATTTATTTTTATAAACATCTTAAATTCTTTATTACATAAAACCTGTCTTATTAGACTTATACAGGGAAGAGAGATTACAAATGTATGTGTCGGAATAAATAAAGTGTAGCATTGCAGCGTGTAAAGATCGTTGTGATAAGTATAAATGAGAAATGAAATAAAATGGCGGACACCACAGTTAAATGTATTGCAAATGTGTCGGATTAAACAGGTTCCACTGTAATAGGTTTAACAATAAAGCAATATACATCCTAATTATCCGCCCAGACATCTCCATTTATCAGTGTTTGTAAATAACAACGAAATATTTCTATTTTCAAATTTATTACAACACATATAAAGTACATCTTTTACTGAATTCATTCAGTATCGCTAAAACAGAACAGTTCAACGCCCTTCCTTTACCGGAAACATATTTGTTTACATGTTTTTTACTTGATGTTAAGGGGGTCGACTGTAGTTTTATTGTGTGAAAACTACAAATGCGAAACTCTTCATTTTCATACCATATATAATTTACATAAACTTCAGTGTACATGCAAAGTTTGGGGGAAATCTACTGTCCAGCTATTTTTGAGGGATCGTCTCAAAATACAGGTACATTAACTATAGGATTATATGGGAAAATGCCCATTCTTAGCACTCTAAAGCAAATTATACAAATACTACAATAGACATTTTGTTCAAGCTATAATATGTGATGAGTTATACTATATTATACAATATATGAAAGAAACACAAAATTCTACCGTCTTGTTACCAGAGGGGGCATCTCAAAATGCAAAAAATTAGCAAATTTTACAATTTTTATAGAACATTACAAAATATGACGTACACAATGGATTCACTTGAAAACATAATAAAAATATTGGAGATATTCTCAAATTTCTATCTTTTAAATTTCAAGAGCGTATGTTAATTACTTTTTCTGTAATAATATTTTTATTACCCCTTTCTTTAAGAGCTTCAGATTAACATAACGTCAAAAACACACAGCAACGACGACAACCTACCTATCAATTGCAAAATCGGTTAAAAAAAAAATCAGTTATATGAAATTGTAATCACATTTATATACCTAATTTTTTTTAAAATTTTGTTTAATTTTAATAATTAAGCAAAAAGGTTCATAAAAAACAGTAAATACGCTTCATTTTACTATGATGCGCGAAATATTGCGCAATAGAACTATAGTCGGCCCCCTGAAATATCTAAAAGAACTCAAGATAAAATTAATTTAAAATTTTCTCTTGAGGGTTTGCCAAAACCATGGTCGATCTTTCCTCTGTTAGAAAAAAATAAAATTAATTCTTCACAGATACATGTATAATAATATTTTTTCAATAAAGAAAAACTTTTATACATGTAACTGAAATTTTCACAGAAATACTAAAACAGAAAAAAAAATGTTATTATGATTTAATAAGGTTTACTTAGTGCCGTCTAACCATCATGGTGGTCCCCTTCACTCATGTCCCACTCGTTACTGTAGGAGACCATGGGTTGATCCAGGACTGCGGGGACCATGGACCGTTAAGGAAGGCCCGGTGACAGTAGTGGAACCACCAGCCTCCTCTAACTTCACTGTAAGCAGCACAGTTAAATTCACTACCTCTGTCGCTATCTCTGTCTGGGGTGGAGAAGTACATCCCAGACAGACTGAAGGAAGAATAAGCTGTGTCTAACATAGCGTCACCTATAAAATTAAACAAAAGGAATCACAGAATTAATTGATTTATTAATTTTTAATCTATTTGTCATTAATAATACTGAGGTACTTCTAAGATAGACGGCTTTAAGTTCAGGAATGATCGATAATAATTATTTTGTTCGGTCTTAGAATCCTCGGTGTCTATCATACTGGCACCTGAAGAATTAGAGAAAATATATAACAGAGATGATAATTATTAATTTACATCACATTAATTTTAGTACTGAAGTACGTCTGAGGTACACAGTTTAATGTGTTGTTCTTTCCTGTAAATAGAGATAAAAATAATACAAAACAAAACACTGAACAATTCACATAACATCCTTTCTAGTGTAACAATAAACAACAGACATGTTACACTTTTTTAAGCATGGTATTATTGGGGGGGGGGGGGGGGGGCAAAGGTCACTGGAAATTTTAGAAAACATGAAAAAATGAAATTTTAATATTTGTCCGAGACCAAGCCTTTAAAAATGTAAAACGTGCAGCACTAAGTAAATCATTAATAACGAGATAAGAATTGGTGAATGTATCTGTGAATGTTTAAAGATGGTAGATTTCCAATTAAATAAATGTAAATGTGAAACGCGTTGAGGTCTTTTGAATTTGGCTTTTTAGGTTTATTTTATTTTTTTTTTTATTTTATCCGATCAAATTTTTCTATCATCAAATTTTCGTAAACCTTTCGACATTTAAGATTAATGACACACTGTAAACTTCCTATTCCGTAGTAGTAAAAAATGTGAATCATTGAAAATCAGACTATCATGCTCTGTAAACTATTTTTTTTAGTATTACTTAAAATGTGAATTATCAAAAATTATCAGGAAACTCAAGCTGAATAACAATGTTGAAGAAATGAAAATATTGGATTTGTTTGTAAAAAAAAATTAACATAATTTGCCTCGTACATAAAATGTATAATTAGAAATCGCATCTACTTGAAAATAACAAATTCAATATCCACTGAATATGTTAATGGTATCTGCAAATGATATTTTGAAATATTAAACATGTTTAATTAGCAAGGAATAGAAAACGTATACAGAATATTAAAAAAATGTCAGAAAAAAACGTATCTTTCTCTTTTTTGACAACTTAATACTATTTCAATACAGAAGAGTATTATTATGATAATATACGTAATTGGAACCTAATTTTAAGAACTTAACGTAGATACACTTACCTAAAGTTCCCGTGGCAGGTCCTGCAAGAAAGAGTTGATATTTTCCTGCTTCGTCGGAGACAGAGAATCGGTCGTACATTTCATAAAGCGTTGTACCATTCTGGAGAGTGATGGACACATAAAGGGCCGGGTTGTTTTCTTTTGTTAATTGATGGATTACGTCATTTCCTGTATTAAGATGTATGTTTAATCAGCTAAAAAACACATTGAAATACAAATTAATTCTATTATAAATATGATTCTACCGTAATGAACAATCAAATTATTTTCCTTGGCTGTAGACAGTAATGCTTACTTTGGTCTCATAAAAAATATGCCGCTAAATTATTTTCTTTCCTTCTTTTTTTCTCTTTATTTGATATATAAATCTAACATGATATGTAAATGTCGTAGATCACATATTACCTAGTATTAAATTAAGATCTTTGTTACGCTTTCATCTATTACCTGACACACCTATTTTTCAAATTTTAAAGGCATACAAAGTTCCTATTTGAAAACAATTTACACTTACCAATACAGACATCCTATTCCGGTGGACCGAAACCATTTTTATATTCCGTCCAGTTCCTGTTAAAGTCCAGGGATCCAGTAATTCGTTTTTGGATTGCCTTTAAATTTAACACGTATAGCAAATCATGTGTTTAAACAGTTGTGTGATCAATATGTTATGCTATGCCGGGTAATCTAAAAATATTCATATTTTTTCAGTTTATATCCTTTTAAACAACAAAAACATTGAGTGTTAAATACATTGTATAATGTGCTTTAATATTAAAATAAACTACAAACCGTCCATCCCCCGCCCATTGTGGTCATATCGCAGTATGCCTGGACAGGACTGGTGATGGTTCCATTGGGGTAGATTTCATACACCCTTGAATTAAAGTATCCGTCTAATTGAAGATCCTTACAGTCTACGGGAATGACTAAAGCAGAAAAAATTTCAATCCATAAAAGATAACTGAAAAATAATACAGAAATCATACTGTGTAAATACAATCCACAGAAATAACTCATAAAATGAAACTGGAATCATTAAATGTATATACAATCCATAGAAATAACTAATAGAAATAAAGCTGGAATCTTACATGTACTATGTATATACATTGTAGATAAAAAAATCATAAAAATAGTACTGGAATCACATTATGTATGCACAATCCATAGAAAGAACTAATAGAAAATAATGATGAAATCTTGGTATGTATATACAATCCATAGAAATAACAAATAGAAAAATATACTTCCTTAATGCTGGTATTCTTATTACAGAAATTGAAGTGATAAGAAATAATAAGAAAAAACTATTACTTAGTAATGCTGAGCGATAAAATCATAATACTAATCTGATTTGTGGCAAATGAAATAAAGAAAATTAACAGATATACATACAGTTATGTGAGTAGTATCGCCAGCCACCCTCATTAGACATCCCCGACTTAAAAATCTTCGTTTGGGTACGACATTTCTTCGTCTGAGGATTAAACCCATGGAAACTACACTCTCTTTGGCAACACGCTGCACACTCTATACCTGATGTAGAGTTGCACTCTCCTAAAAGGTCTTCATTTGACTTCTTATCATCTTTTTCCAGTTGTGCGGTGTATTTCCTCGAAAGAATGGTAGATTGGCACACCGCAAAAAAGACCAAAACTAAAATAATTACACAGAGAGCGCGCATATTGTAACTTGTACTTAGAACTACTGGCTGAGTTGTGGGGTACCTGTAGAAATTTGTTATCTAGTATACAGAACGCCAAATATAAATATCAAAATATACATCAATTACTGAAAATGATTGGCTATTAGTTACGTACTCAGCATGTTTCATTAATCAAAATATTGATTTGATGAATTTGATGTAAATTTCCAATTCCAAATATTCAAATTAATGTTTTATGAGTGTGAGCATTTTACCTAACACAAATTGGAATAAAAGTCGCATTCAAAGTAATGTCAGTAGTAGTTTTTATTAAATTTTGATAATTAAATATTCTATAAAATTGTAAATTAAACTTTACTACTTATATTTTCTGATTAAAAATGATTATTAAAATATCTGCAATATCATCGAGTACGTATTTCACGACAACTGACCATTTTCCGATCTCCAAAGTAACGACAGCGCCCAAAATGACAAACAGCGAAAAAAAGATATTTTTAGATACAGAAACCAATCAGAAGATGTGGTGAGGAAACCTGTGACTGTGTGCCCGTATTTCGGGTATTTCTACAATCTATCAATAATTGTCGGTTTTATATATCCCAGAGGCTAGACAATGTGTTAAATAAAAGTTATTTTGGAATTAGGTTGCAGATAATTTAGGTTTAATATCAACGAGAAATCAACTGTATTAAGATATTATCATAACAAAAATTGCAGTAAATATAAAAATAAAACGGATGTTATGAGTTTGCACTTTTAGTCTGACAAAAGATAACGAACGCGAGCTCTACAGATAAAAGTAATTAAAGAGGCTGATCAATAGGAATTAAATCTTAAAACCGGACGGTCCCACAAAATAAATCATGGGAATGCAGCTGCTACTTACCTGTTATGAAAAAAATTATTTGGTTAGGATGAAGAAGGAACCAATACGCAAGTGTGTTAAGGAAGCAGTGAAACCATTCTCGGGAAATTTAGACTTTTTAAAGAAAATTCAGTTTGATAATTTACTAAGACCGCTGATAAAAGTGAACTATTATTTACTTTTGCGTAGAGAATGTGTCTAACGCAAAGACGTGCGCCACATCCCCGTCATCACGTATTTCTATTTATAGCGAATTGTTCCTTAATAAAAAAGCTAGATACAACAGATCCTGGAGTTAATAATTTTTTTGAGTACATGATAATATAGTCGAAAAATATCTGTTCTGCCTTAAAAGTGCTGCTAGAACCCCACTGTCCTGTCAGTAAAATAATAATTATACACATTTGCACGAAACCTTACCCGATGTTTTGAATTTTATACATATGAACTGAATTTTTTCGCAAAACCATGCTTAACTCGGGATTCTAGCAGCACTTTCCAAATATTTTAGAGAGCAAACTTTCCATCTGTACAAATTTTATTTTTTTAAATATCCAGCTTATTGTTGTTCTGTTGCATTTTTTTGTCACAAAGGACAGAGGGAAGGCCGACCGGGATAATATGTAGCTGACTGTCTTTCGAAAGAGAATATAATCGATAAAAATGCATTAGCACACCTGTTAAATTAACTGAACTCCATATGAATTTAACATAATATTAATAATATTTGCTTTTAAACTCTATTTTACAAATCTTTGTACATGTTATCTTATCCAAATTCTCTTTACTCGACATGGTGAATTCCCAAGTTACTTGATATACACATATGACGTCATCGGTCGTTCATTTAATCAAAATGACAAATACAGCATAAAAAAATGAAAACATTTATTTTCTTAATGTATACACGTTTCTATACATTTTCTAGTGTTATATTACTTCTCTAAATAGTAATATTACGAAAACATGTGTTTTAAAATTGACGTCATCTCGCCTACTATGACATCATAATGTAGCACTGATTTAGTCAAGGTAAAATTGTTTGTATGCTTTCTTATCCATATTTGGATAAATTAGCTACTAATAACAACAAGTGATATTCTAAAGATTATGCAAAAGATTGGAAATTATTTTGAAAGTGCATTAAAATTTTAAAACGTACTCAAGATCAGAAGTAGTAGTAATTAAATTCAAATTAAAATTTAAAGTAATTTTTGCAAATTTCGAAGGAGTTACAAATATGGAGATGTAAATCTACAAAAGTACACCTAGTATAAAATGATTGATTGATTGATTGTATGTTGTTTAACGTCCCTCTCGAGAATTTTTCACTCATATGGAGACGCCACCACTTGCCGGTGGAGAGCTACAAATTTTGTCTATACACGGCACTCAGGTCCTTTGAGAAATGAGGGATCTTTTTCGTATCAACACCTAGCAAAAGCTACATGCACTGGGAAGGTCAAGGTAAAAGAATGGATAAAATTGAAAAGTAATGTATCCTTGCTTTAGCTTATTCAAAAATAATATATGTAACAGTTTTTTTATACCCCCCGCTTGAAAAGTGGGAGGATATACTGTAATCGGTTTGTCCGTCTAGCTGTACGTACGTCCGTCTGTTACGCTTTAGGGTACCCATCTCTTATCCACAACTCCTTTGTTTATTGAGTGAAATTTAATGAAACTTTCACAGAATCTTTATTACATATTGCCATTGTGACCTCCTAATTTACTTTTTGATTTGAACGTATTTTGGGTTTCCCAGCAACAGCAAAACATGGACTTTGTCATCAGTTATAACATATATGGGAGGCAGGGGGTATCATTTAGTGAGCTCATTGCTCACAGTTCCTCTTTTTTTTCAATTGTAATAAAACAAATTTGAGAAAAATGAGGTCAAAAAAGGTCAAAAGACAAACAAGAGGCCCATGGACCACATTGCTCACCTGAGTAACTTTCGTGATGCAGTTCTTTACCAGATTTCCCCTCTTGTTAAACCTATCGTGGCCCCCTACCCCCTTAAATGTGATAATTTTTATACTCTAGAATCTACACTACCCCAAGATGCTTTCACATATCTTTCAGGTTTCCTGGCCCAGTGGTTCTTGAGAAGATTTTAAAAGATTCTTTCAATATATTTCTATGTAAAACTTGGATTCCCTCTTGTGGCCCGAACACCCTGGAGGTTATGAATTGACAATTTATAATCTACACTACCCCAGGATGCTCTAAAACACTAAAGAGACAGCTTTTCTGGCCCTGTGGTTCTTGAGATTTTTTAATGACCCCATCCTATTTTTTCTTTTCTTGATTATCTCCCCTTGTGAAGGGACTTGGCCCTTGATTTTAACAATTTAAACCCCCTTAAAAACCTAAGTGTTATCTCACATTTCACAATTTTTGAAAAGGTATCAATCCTCATCATAAATGTTTGATTTATATATAATGGAGCATATATAGTAATTAATTTACTTTAACATTAATCCCCCCCCCCTGTCCTCTATGACTCCCCTGATCCAGGGGCCTTGAAATCACCATTCTGGAAGAATGATAAATGCTCAGTATAACTAGGCTTGTACATGTAGTTAGTTTGTTAAATACATAGGAACAGAAAAGATTTTCAAAGAATTAATGCATTTTCACAATAAATTAAATAGAGCCCCACCCTGAGTAACACTTTGAAACTTATTTCAAAGAGGCACCCTTCCTCATATAACTATGTATGTAGTTTGTTTAACCCTTTCTCTACCGGCACATTTTAGGTGATTTTAGAGACTTTTTGATATGACATTATTAAATTATTTCCAACCTTTTTATTCAAGGAGAAAGCTAGGTATATTGCATACCATTTTGTAGGGAATGTCTTAGAGATGATATTTTATGACTATTCAGATACTCAACAACTGACCTTATTAGTAAAAATGGAGGTCAAAGGTCAATTAAGTGCAAAGTTTTATGGAATTTTTTGATACTTTTTAATCTTCAAGCTAAATATTTACTATGATGTATGTTGAAATAGGAAATTTTGGATATGCTCACAAAAAAGCATGATACTGTACTACATGAAACACATAAACTTTTTTTTCAATTCTGCGTATAGCTACTTAAAAGCAGTTACTTAGCAACCCAGAATTTTTTTTATTTTCGGGCAAGAATTTTCGGTTATTACTCATCCTAGACACATTTATGCATCCCAACACAAATAAAAGTTAGATGTGAGGTCTTAAAAGTACAAGGGACGAACAGCAGATAAATTTTCTTAAAGTTTGACCTCATTAGAACTATTTTTAGGAGGTCAAAGGTCAATTAAGTGCAAAAGTTTCATCAATTTTTTTCAACACTCTTCAATATTCTTGTCATAATTTTTACACAATGGATGCTGAAATGGAAAAATCTGAATGTACTCTCAAGAAGGGATCAGAACTGCAATATCCATGCATCATTTTAGTTCAAATATCTGTTTAATGACCTTTAAAAGGTTGCTAAGCAACAACTTTTTAAAGTTTTTGGCTATAAACATGTTTGTTATTTCACATTCTGGACACATTCTCGACACTTTTTGTATATTTTATGACATTGTATGTAAGATATCGGCCATAAAAATGAAAGAACATTTTTGTATTAAAAATTGACCTTGACACTCTTGTTCTTAAGGGTGTCAAGGTCATATCAGTACAGAATTCTGCTTTAAATTGTAAGTAAATATCAATTTTGAAATGCTTCAATCATGGATAAATCATATAATAGTTGACGTGATAAAAATGGCAAAGACAAAATTTGCAAGCAAAGAATTCTGGTCTGCTTCTTACAAACCCCTAGCAACACATGTATACAATCTTTTTGTTAAACAAAAAAATCCATTCTCTTGATGCCATTAAAAATAATCTTTATTTTCATGGATTTAATAGAACAAGAAAAAATAAACTAAATGATTTTATTACAAGATTTTTCTGGTATAACATAGCTTAAGGGGTACAAAAAAGACTTGACATGTTATCTTAGAGGGAAATAATAATAATAGATAGCATTGGCAATATTTAACGCAAAACTGTTTAGTCAATAAGTTGAAAATGTGACGTTTATATCCAAATATACAAATCCAGAAATATTGCAAGATGAATTCCAAATCAGACTGAAATCTTCAACAAAATGTTGAAGAGCACTTTTACTTTGTGTCCACCATTCTTTTATCAACTGTCATTTCTCTGTAAGACTGGAGGAAATTCTTTGACTTGTCCAAGATATTATTATCTGCTGTCAAGTACAAGTGATCAGCTTCTATCCTGTAAAAGATTTAAATATTTTGAAACAGATACATGTCATTGTGTATATGAATTTATATTTATAAATAAAATTAAGAATGCTAAAATTACTACATTTATTTGATTTTCCTTTTAAAATTGTATTTATTATGTGATTCAAGTAGTTAAATGATATTGCTAAGTCAAAGTATCAGGACTGATAATTCAACAACCTTGTAGTAAACCATCATGGTAAAATTACTGAACTAAAACAAAAAGCATATATGGCAATCTGACTAAAGCCTCTGTTTACGCTATCGCAACATATAAAAAAATCTAGCAGTGGATGGAAGATCTAATTTTAATTAGATTGTTACGAAAGCCATGAAGGGACACATCAATTTTTCAAAAAAGTAAAAAATGAGATCTCGAATTAGACAATCCAATTCCATGGATCACTAAATCGTTCCCTCGATTTATAATTCGAGATCTTGAATTACACAATCCGATCTTACAGATTACTAATTCGCCCCCTTGATTCATAATTTGAGATCTCGAATTACATACTGGTAATTTGTTTTCACAGATTAATAATTCGAGATCTCGATTTGTTACAATGTCAGTCTTCTGATTTTCTCAGTGCTCTTGAATTTCATTACATATATGTACAGATACATCCAACCATTTTAATCAATTTGTGCGTTCTGTTTATTTTGTTTCAGCAGCCGGTCATTTCCAACCTCTTTCATAACTAATTCAACGTATATTTATTTTAGAAATATTATGATTACACAGGACCCATATTCACTTTTACTATTTAGGACTTTCAATTATTCTAATATACACGTAACACAAAAACCTCTAAGATTTTTTGTTGTACAAATATCAGTACTAGCATATGGATTTGAAAATGTTCATGTATTTTTCTCATTTTGGACCGTAATATGTAATAAAAGGTAGGATGTAAAATACTACAATATTCTATTCTTTAAACATGTATTACCATATCCGATATGTACAGATAAATAATTTTATTGAAATCATGGGAAGGGTTTACATTCCGAGGGAACGAATCATTTAAACTAAGAGAATGAATTATACAATCTGAGATAACGGATTGTGTAATTTGAGGGAACGAATTGATAATCTGTGAGAATGAATTGGCAATTTGTTATAACAGATTGTCAATCTGAGAGAACGGATTGTATAAATGGAGAACTCGGTTTACTTTTATAAATTTTTTAAAATTCTATGTCCCTTCATGGCTTTCATAGATTGCATACCTGCATGGCTGCCAGGGTTGTAAAAAGAAAGGAGACAATAGACTGCAATGTTACTTCAGGGCAAAATTCCTGGGGCAAGGCTGTTCATGAGCATGGGAGTGTTGATAAACCATCCAGTGAGTTTGACCACCCATGTATATGATGTACGATAATTGGAAAGTGTCTGAAAAATTGAGAAAATGGAAATTCTAACCACATACCTTATGCAGATTGGAAATACAACAGCAGTCTAAAAAAGCTTGTTCCATATCTCGGCATTCATTTATATTACGTGTTTAAATAATGTGTTTGTATGAATAATCAATCATCATAAGTATTATGTGTTTCAAATACTCAATATATTTTTCAAAATATAAATCAAATGTTTATAAACTTGTATGAATGCACAGTTTTGGTCTGATTTCAATATACATCATTATTCTGTGCGAGTTATCATGAGAATGACACAAATGAAATTTGACTTTATTTTTTGAAATCTGTGAAATTAGAAATACTTGGCACACAAGAAATTTTCAATACCAAAACAAAAATTTACCTGTTCATTGGTGTCCTTACATATTAACTGGCCTTCGTAGTTCATGATGGGCTTAGCAAGTGGTGGGTATTCACAGATGAAAGTATTGTTGCATATGGTGCCAGCACCCTAAAAATTCAATGTGAAATTGGTACATGTATACACTGGTACACACATACTGAAAACAACTATCCATTATTATGGCAACTTTGATTTTACTTTGAACTTTCGAGTGATTGTCAAAAGCATCAAAGTTCAAAAGCAACACAAAATTGGCTGAACAATACGAAATACGCACGACACACTAAAATATGAAGATCTAGTACATGTGTACATTTAGTTTTCTTTTGAACGTGAACTAATTCATACATTGCGTTTTAATCTTAAACTATTCAGTCAATATACACGTATTCTCACCTGCTAATACCAAAGGCATGTCCGTATTGAAATTTTCAATACCAAAACAAAAATTTACCTGTTCATTGGCGTCTTTACAATTGGCCTTCGTAGTTCATGGTGGGATTAGCAAGTAGGTATTCACAGATGAAAGTATTGTTGCATATTTGATTCATTGATGTGATGATCTTCGTCGTGAAATAATCATGAAAATTGACGTTCAGATTTCGGATCGCCATCATGTTGTTCACTGCAAACTGCTACCATAGCGGAAAAACGTGGTTATTTCAATTCGTATCAACTCATACAGTGATGAGTCGTATTTATTTATAAATGCGAGTTTTTGTATTGTTAAATCTCGTGCCAATATAGATCTAATCAAATTGCAAATTAAGAATACAGTATAACAAGATACAATAATATTAAAAATCTGATTTTTTTTTAGTAAAGATCGACGTTTAAGGAATCTACAATTTTTATCAGCATTGTATATCACTACATGAAATATACATCATTACATGTGGATGAATAAATTAACATTTCACTTCACACAAAAGGCAGAACGATCGTATATATTTGTTTTTTGAAATCTATTTTCTTTTCTTTTTTTTTTGTATTATGCATTTATTTCAGTAAAAAATATATTTAAATGGTCAAAAAAGTCTTATAAAAGAATTTGTTGTTTCGAGTAAGACGCAACAATATCGACCTTGACGTTACATGTAAATATTGACCGATTTTTCCATAAAAACTATGCGAAGGTCACAAATTCAAATTATCGTAATTAAGAAAATACTAAGGGTAAGAAGTCCTATAAGGGCTTGTTGGAAAGGAAATTTTCTCTACTTGTACCAGCTTTATTTTGTTTTCCCTATTTCAGCACAGAAATAAACGTAACACTGAGCTTTGTTTAAACATTACGAATAAAATCGAGAAAAAAACACATAAGTGCAAGAAAATTCTTGTTTTTAAAATATACTTTAAAGTAATAACAATAATTTTTACATATTTTAAAAGCAAAGAAAATATACTTTAAGAATATACCATACTTTCCTCATAAAGTTAATCAGGAAAAAAATTTCAATCGTCTGGAAAATCAGCAATTGCTTTGGAAAATTACGCCATTTTCCAAAAGTCACGTTTGTCTTCACAACGTAAAATCGATTAAATACCGGCAATCAAGACATAATCTTTTTAGATATTTTAAAAGTAGAGAAAATTTCCAAAAAGATGATATATAGTTTATATACCTTCATGCTACCATAAAATAGATACGGAGATCTTATTTTCGCGAAGTCGTGTTTTAACGCGCCACCGGTCAATTTGACCGGTACGGAAGTGAAAGGGTTAATACCCAGGAGCAGAGAAGAAGATTTTCAAAGAAATAATGCATTTTCACTATATAATCAATAGAGCCCAGCCCTACACCAGACCCCTGACCCTTGGGCCATGAAATTCATAATTTTAGAAGAGGCATCCTTCTTCATCATAATTAAGTACTTTATTCGTTAGCCTTTTACCCAGGAGCAGAGGAGAAGATTTTCAAAGAGTTATTACATTATCACTATAAAATCAATAGAGCCCCGCCCTAACTCCAGAACCCCTGACCCTGGGGCCATGAAAGTCACAAGTCAGAAGAGACACTCTTGCTCATCATAAAAATACATCAACTTGACGTATATTTGTTTAATACCTAGGAGCAGAGAAGATTTTCAAGGAAATAATGCACTTTCACAATATAATCTATATAGCCCCATCCTAGCATTAGAACCCCTGACTCTGGGGCTATAAATTTCACAATTCTGGTAGAGGACTCAATGCTCATTATAATAATTTCAACAGTTTGACTGCTTGATGTCCAGGATTTAAGAAGATGTTTGAAGATTGGATTAATTTTAGAGGTTTGGGCCCCAAACCTAAGGCCACAGGGGGGCAGGGGCCATGAATTTCACAATTTTTGTTCCCCTTCATCCGCAGATTTATATTACTATTGTTTGCAGTTAAGTGTGAAGTTTTGCGTTACGTCACGATCTTTTTCGTCATATGCATCCTGCATAAACAATTCACGTGATTGGTCAACTAATATTATCAACATTGACACGGAAATAATTTGTTGTACGAGCTACCAATCAGGGATAAGAAGAAACACCCAGTCGTGAAGCTTGCTTAGGAGGCGTGTACAATTTACCTTGAGCGCAGCTGTCAACTAGATGGTGACGTAACGTAAAATTTCACACTTAACTGCAAACAATAGTATGCCAAAATTGGTTGAAATTGGCTCAGCGGTTCCAGAGAGGTTGAAAATGTCCAAAAGTTTACAACCTATTGACGACGAATGACGTACAACGAAAGACATACGACGACGGATGAAAGCAGGTAGCAATTGGTCACCTGAGTTGCTCAGAGCTAACAATGTTGAAGCACTTGAATAGCTCTCATCAATATGTATTGGTATATGAAACTAAACTAAATGCAAAGTGTGACAGAAGGATGGATAGTCAGACATGTAAATACTGTATGCCCAGGCCATAATAATGGAGGGACATAAAAATGAGTTCTCCAAGGCAATCTCTTGTCAAGTGAATTCTAGAGCTACAAAATGTCATTATTGCATTGCACCAAGCAGTAGCACTCATCAATGTCCACATAATATCAACAGGAAATGAAACCATTGGCATAGCATCCAGGCTTCCACATCAATCCTGTAAAAATGAAAAATCATCTTCTTCAGTCTAGTTAGTATTTCAAATTCAAATGAAAGCTAAAAGATACCAACTAGTATGTCACCTTGATTATCAAGCACTTAGGGTAGCATATAATTATTGAAAAATAGACATCATAAGACAAGCACAGATCCAGATGGGAGTTGGAAAATCATATCTCCTTTTTTGAAATTTACATAGTTATCAAGCTTGTATAGTTGAGTAATCAAAACAATGACTGTCCCCCCCCCCCTCTAAAAACCCCTGACTCCCTGATAATGAAAATGAAAGTGATTTTAACAGATTTTTCTCTTTAAGAAAAAAAAAGAGTTCCAAAGACCACATTGCTCACCTGAGTCACATTCGACATTGTCCTTCAGAATACTCTAAAACCATATTCCCACTAATATAATAAACCGATAAATTTTAAAAGTAAGTAGGTCTGTCAGCATGTTTGTTTTTTGGAAATTTTTAGTTTTCAATTTTTTTTTTGTTAAATAAAAAATAACTTTAAATAGGTAATACAGTGTACATAAATAAGCTACACTTGTTATAACCTATTTTGAATGAAAAAAAAATGCAAAATTGAAAATTAAAAAATTACACTATCAGTAAAACTTAATTAGTAATACAAAATCTGTGAAAAAAGTTTTGGCCAAGAGAAATGGATTGGTTGGCAAGTACAAACAAACAATAGGGATCGAAATAAGTTTGATCAGAAAAGTTTATAATGCAAGATGTCATTTTAGTTATTACTGACCTTTGAACTTGAAACTGGTGCATTCATTTACTATCCAGCATGCAAATTCATTCCACAATGTGGTATCTTTCCATCTGACATCAATTCTAACCTTTGATCCTTGACCTTGACATTAGAAAACATGAAATATATCTGTATTTGCAATATGTATTATTCCTGCTTTTCATTTTAGTCAAAACAAACTGTAAGCAGATAGACAATTTGAAATGCTCATGAATTAATTTAAGTGTCAATCACATCTTTTCAGGGATTACCGACAAGCTCGCAAAAACACATAAATGTAAAAACATTATTGAATGTTAAAATTAATTTTAAAAATGCTCACTTGGGCCTATCTAATAATAAAGATATAAATGCAAGCTGTCAATTTATTACTGACCTTTGAACTTGCAAGTCCAATACACAGTGTGGTATCTTTCCAGCTGACATCAGTTCTGGCCTTTGATTTTTGACCTTGACATTGGAATATGGTTGTCTTGGCACCAAAGAAACGTTTAGCAGGTAGACTATGGTTTTTCTTGTCAGAAAGGCCCGAAAAGTTGCAATTGAAGGAAGTGTACCACTTTCACCTGCACATTCCTCATTACTGCAGAATGGTTTCCCATACCCATAGACTCAAGTCAACATATGTCAATCTGAAATACTATAAATAGTTAATAATCTTTTTATATACATGTACATGCATTAGTCATATAAATTATTTGCAAATCTGTAAATGTATTATATCTGGCGTGTATGATATTTGGAGAAAATTGATTTTTGAACAAGTTAGCGTAGATTTGATTTAGCACATTTCTCAATGTTCTTTTTTATGGATATATGTAAAAAACATTTAGCGTTGTACTTTAATTAGCGGAAGTTCCTTTCCGCCAAAAGCAGTACAAATTATACATAGCCATATTTAATATGTTTACAGTAATACAATAATTTCATGTTGCCCCATACTCTGGCAATACAGGTGCAGATTAAAATTGTCGATAAGATTTGAAGATTAAAAATATTAACACGTGGGAAAAATGAGTGTCACGCCAACAACTGGAGATAACTCTTAGGAATGTGAAATTCGTCTTTTACAAGACATAAAAGAAAACCTACCGATTGATCTACATGTATAACCAATCTAAATTTGTAAGGATCTGCAGTTTTGTTGATGGTTCAGTACAACCTAGTCACTGTGATCTGGTACTAAAAAGAGAAAAAAAGTAAACCAAAAAAATGACATATTTAAATATAAGGCAACAGCATAGTTAAACTTGTTTATTCATTAAAAGAACAAATTAGTGATAAACTCCCATGTACAATGTGCAGTTTTCTGTTAAATTCTATCATAGGTTGGATGATCATAATAAAAGCTTTTTGGACTCTACCCCCCTCCCCCCTTCTAACAACACCAACTTTATATAATAATTATGAATGTATAAAAATTACTTTTAAAGGAAAACAAGATCAACAGTTATGAATGTTAATCGAGGTTCAATACAAAATGAATATTTCATTCGAATTTCCTCGATCATACAAGACTAGCTCAGTTTAGGGAGAAAGTAAAATAACTGCATAAACTGTATTCATGTAACTTACATCAAACAAAAAGAAGCCATGCTTAGCCATGCTTGCACACTAAAGTATTAGTGGCTTGGTCAAAAAGGGATAAGTCTAATAATACTGGTGATGTCTTTATTGATGGTAACATCAACGTAAGAACTGTAAAAACAAATACAAAATTTATCAGTAATAATTAACAAGAAAATCTAAATTACATAAAGTACAGAAACATGCACTAAGATGACCCTTTGGTATACATACACATGTAGACTAGAGTTCAATATTCAATAATATCAGTTAATTGACTAGTAATATGTAATATGAATAATATCTATACGTTTAATTTAATTCATTACTTAATCTCAATAAAGTTATTACCAGTGACAATCAGAAAATATGACTGTGCTACTTCACTTAAACACATGTAAACAAACTTGGCGCCTTGCCTTACATTACTGTACAAAGGGCAATAACTCTAAGTAAATCATGACACAAAAATTCCATGTGCACGACAAATAATCTCACAACCGATAATTTACATAATAAATCAGTTCTATTTAATCATTAAATTGATATGATATATAAAATACATATTGCTATGGGACTAATAATTTTCAATCAAAATTTCACCACACGTGGGTCAAATTGGCGCCATGTATAAAACAACACTAGCCATGCTTGTACAAAAATGCTCTACATACAGAGTAATCGTTATATCTATACTAAATCAGAAACATTAACTAACAAGATCAGGGACGTTAAACGTTACTATGAGCATATATGAGATGCATAATTTCTAATTACCTTGTTCTCCTGACCAAGTCGCTAAAGTTTTAACTTTTGTCGTTCTTTCGTTCACGTTAGGATGTACAAAGATGCTGGGCGGAAATTACGTAATATACAAATAGTAGCCGGACCCAAATATAAGAAGATTGTCTATCCGGAATTATTTACCAAACATTGTTACACATATGTGATTAACAAAATATTACAAATAAAATAAACTTCATTAAAATTATAGTAAAATAAAAATTATGACATTTACACTCCCACCAAAATCATCATGATTTTAGAAATTCAAACTATGCAATCTACGTTATCATCTACACTACAACATACAACAATAACATAGCAGTTACATTAATTTGCAATGAGTAGCACAAGCTTATGAACTGTTCTCTCCAGAACTCCAGACTGCATTTTCACCTTGACTCTCCGTACAAGACCATCATCATCTGGGTTGGCTTCAACAACTCTACCGAGAGGCCATTGGTTGCGTGGCAGGTCAACGTCCTTCACCAGAACAATGTCCCCTTCCTTGATGTTCCGACGAACTCCATGCCACTTCTGTCGTAAGGTGATCTGAGCCAGGTACTCATGTCTCCAACGGGACCAAAATTGTTCCATAAGGTACTGTACACGTCTCCAACGTTTACGGACATACATGTCTTCCTTCACGAACTCTCCAGGAGGGGGAAGGGGAGAAATGGTCTTCCCAGCTAAGATGTGGTTCGGAGTAAGCGGCTCCAGTGAGTCTGGGTTGTCTATCTCACTGACCGTTAGTGGGCGACCGTTTACAATAGACATTGCTTCGTAGAATATGGTTCTCAGTTTGGAATCATCTAGCCTTCCAGGACAAAGTAATAATATGGCGTTGAGTATGTTACGGACGGTTCTTATTTGACGTGCCCACACACCTCCTGTATGACTAGCACTGGGCGTGTTAAACACGAATTCACAGTGTTTCTCTGCTAAGAATGAACATATTCTTTCCTTGTTAAGTGCTTTCTGGAATTCATTCTTAGCTCCAATGAAGTTGGTTCCTTGATCTGCGCGCAACTGTTGCACGGTTCCTCTAATGGCGATAAAACAGCGCAAAACATCGATAAAGGCGTCTGTAGACATGTCATCTAACATCTCAATGTGGATAGCACGAGAGCACATGCAGGTAAATAGTAACCCATATCGTTTTATTTCCTTCCGTCCCTGTTTCACAATAAATGGGCCGAAACAGTCCATACCGCAGTATGTGAAAGGCGGAGATGGTTCCATACGATCCTTGGGCAAGTCTGCCATTCTCTGTGTCTCTGTCGGTCGTCTCAACTTCCTGCATATAACGCACTGACGTATGTAGCTGGCTACCGTCTTACTTCCTCCTACAATCCAATAACCAAGAGACCGGAGCTTGTTCAAGGTAATTCCTCTTCCTTGATGAAAGGTTTCCTTGTGAGCATGTGAGAGAATCAAGTGCGTGATATGACCATTTCTGGGTAAGATTATTGGGTTCATGTAAGCAACAGACAAGGTTGCCTTCCTCAGTCGGCCTCCGACTCGAAGTATCCCATCTTGTAGAATTGGTTCTAGGAGTTTAAGGGAGTTCGACCTTGGTAGCCCTTCAGATTTCTCGAGAGCGCTGATAGCATCTTGAAAGGTTTCATGTTGAACGTGCTTGATGATAGTTTGTTCTGCTTGAAGTCTTTCATCCGGGTTTGGTGGATAGGTTCCCTTGACACCATTTGAGAGTCTCTGCATTCTGGCAATGAAGGATATCATTTTGGTCCAAGATGAGAATCGAGACAGAATGTCAAGGATACTAGAATGAGCCTTTGTTTTGGTACATAGAGATCTTGCAGATCTTACTTCAGGGTCTCCAAGTTGCAACTCTGTTTCAACACCTCTGCTTTCGATGATGGGTTGCCATAGTAATGGAGGACCGGTCAACCATGAAGAATCATTAACTTCAGATGCACGTAGTCCAGGCGAGGTGTGATCGGCTGGGTTGCTGGCAGATTCAATGTAAAGCCACTGATGAGGTTTTGTTGCATCTCTTATCATCTGTACACGGTTTGCAACAAATACGTGGAACCTGCAGCCTCGTTGTTGATATAGCCAAGCACCACTTTAGAGTCTGTCCAAAAGTACTCTCTGTTGATAGGTAGATTCAGCTCCCTCTTCAAAAATAAATTGACCTTCACTGACAATACTGCAGCTGTCAATTCCAAGCGAGGTATCGTTACAACCTTTAGAGGTGCTACTCTTGCCTTTGCGATAACTAAAGCACAATGTACCTTCGTTCCCCTTACAACTCTAAGGTAAGAACACTGTCCATAGCCATTTGTGCTTGCGTCCGAGAAATGATGCAGCTCATAGGTTATCGGTTTGCCAAAATCACTTGGTATGAGGCATCTTGGGACTTTGATGAGATCAAGGTTCTGTAGATCTTTGATTCAAGCTTCCAATTCAAGTAGTCTGTCTGCGGGTAGAGGGTCATTCCATCCTATGTTACCTTGACACATCTCCTGCAGTATTCGTTTCCCAGTCAGAGTGAAAGGGGAGAGGAATCCCAATGGGTCGAATATTGATGCTACAATGGATAGCATACTGCGCCTAGTAGGAGATGCATTCTGGTCGACAGCTTTGAAGCAAAACGAATCCTCTTCAATGTTCCACTTTATACCAAGTGCTTGTTCCATAGGTAATTGTTCATGTGAAAGGTCTAAGTCTTTAACATCTGCCGCTCTCTCTGATTCAGCAACAGAATTTATTACGTTCTTGTTGTTGGAAATAAATTTGTGTAGACGCAATCCACCATTGGCACACAGAATCTGTGCGTCTTCTATCAACTTGATAGTTTCTTCTTCAGTCTCAACACTACTTAGTCCGTCATCCACATAGAAATTGTTCTGCACAAAGAATGATGCAGCTTGAAGTTGCTCTTCTTGGCTTCTGGCTGAGAACTTGAGTCCATAATTAGCACATCCTGGCGAGGAAGCCGCTCCAAATAGGTGAACTCTCATTCGATATTCTTTGGGTTCTGCATCTAAGTTTCCTTCCTCCCACCATAGGAATCGTAAGAAATCTCGGTCTGCAACAAACTGGTGGAACATCTTCTCTACATCACACATGACAGCCACAGGGTATTGTCTGAATCTGCACAGAACACCAGTCAGAGCATTTGTGAGATCCAGACCAGTCAGTAGATGCTCATTCAATGAAGCGTCTTTGTATCTTGCTGAACAGTCAAACACTACTCTAAGCTTTCCAGGCTTCCTCGGGTGATAAACACCATGATGTGGGATATACCATGTATTTCCACTGACACCATCTGACGATACTGGTTCGGCGTCGCCTCTTTCCAATACTTCTCTCATGAAAGTCTTGTAATGTTCTTGATATGTCTGGTCTCTTTTAAGTTTTCGTTTCAGATGATCTAAGCGAATCAATGCAAGTGACTTGTTGTTAGGCAGGGAGGGTCGCTCCTTGAATGGTAGAGGCATTACCAAATGCTTATCCTCATGCTGCTGTATGTTTTCTTTCATAAAGTTAAGGAAGGCGATATCATCTTGAGATATCTTTATATCTTCATTCTTGTCATGCGCAAAGTCTTTCTCCAAAGTTTTTATGACATCCCTGGGTGTACAGCTATGCAGCTCCTTCACTGAAGTTCTGTGACAAACCACAGTAACGTCCGAGTCTGTGCGATCTGTGTATCCAACCACGCTCCAACCAAGCAGTGTCTGGATGCCATATGGCTGGTTCTCGTTTCCTGTTAGAGTTTTTTTTGGTACAAGAGCTTGAGGACAATTGTATCCAATCAAGAGTCCAAATTCACATGACTGAAGAGGTGGTAGTTCGTTGCTAAGCTCCTTCAGGTGTGGCCAGCTCATTACGGTTTTCTTTTCAGGTATATGTGAGCGATCCGCAGGAATGAAGTCTCTCGTATATGCATTGTCTATTGTCACAAATTCGGTAGACTTGAACCCTCTCACTATCAGGTTCTGTATACGGAAACTGTTAATGATAGTGTGCTGCGAGGTCATGGTAGACAAGCTGAGACGTGTTGGTTGTCTATTCACATGCAAGGCAGCAGCCGTTTCGTCTAGTACAAAGGTAGTGTCACTTTGTGTGTCTAAGAGAGCATATGTCAATATCTCGTGCGAGGGGTTCTCCTGAACAGAAAGCCACACTGGAACGATCATGGAGGTGCTGTGACCATATCCTCTGCTCACACGAGAGGAACTGGCTACCTTGACCTCTAATTGTTGCTTTCTTGTTGGTGATTCATCTTCATGCATGCAGGTTGGGTGTTTTCCCTTGCAGATACCACACGTATGCTTCTTCTTGCAGTCCTTGTTTCTGTGGCCCTTGCGTAGACATCCAAAGCACAGGTTTTTCTTACGCACTACCACTCGTTTATCATCAATAGACAAGTCAATAAATTTCTCGCACTTGAACAAGGGATGTCCTTCTTTCTCACAATAATCACATAAGTTGGGTCTCATGTCAGTTCCCGTTGCATTGTGCTGATGAGTTGAAGTCGTTGCGAGGACATTTGCTTTGCGACTCGAGTTTTTGTGCTCTCTGGCAGGTTTTGTGTCAGTGTCCTTGAGCGCATAGATTGACGAGACTGGATTACAAGCAATGCGAGCCTCGTTTACGACGAAGTCCACAAACTTGGAGAATAATGGATATTCACCAGTAGAGTCAATAGTTTCTTGAACTTGACGATTCCAACGCAGTGCAGCCCAATTAGGAAGTTTGCTTAATAGTTTCTGATTTTCAGAGCAGTCGTCCAGAATTTTAAGGCTTGGAACCTGAGGCGTTGCATCTCGACAGGCTAGTAGGAAGTCTCCAAAATCTCTGAGAGCCTTTGAATTCCCTTCTGTGATTTTGGGCCAATTCTCTAGTCTCTTCCTAAATGCCTTCTGCATAACAAATGGGTGTCCGTATCTGTCCTGCAGGACTCGTCTGGCGTTTTCATATGCAGAGTTGCTTCCATTGTAGAAGAATCCATCTATGGCTTGTAGTGCTTCACCCGCCACGTTTCTCTTCAAATAGAATAGTATCTCTTGCTCAGGAATGCCTTTATGTTCTATCAATGCATGAAAGGCTGTCTTCCATTCTACGAATCTAAGTGGATCTCCTGTGAACACTGACGGCTCAGGTATAGGTAGCCTATTAAGGTTCACTGAGTCTGCAAACACCTTTGCTAAGATACTTGTTGTAGAATCATCGTTTGTGGTGCTGTTCGAGTTGACTGTAGCGTTGTAAGTAGGTGGGTTGAACGGAGTATAAGTAGACCTCCCAATGTGTGTAACGGTAGGACGAGTAGTAGACATGACGACTGGTGTAATCGTAGGGTGGCTAACAATAGTCGTAACAGCCGGGGGGTCAGGTCAGTTGGACGGCTTCTACAGGAAGTGTCATGTTCAGTTTGACGTCTGCTTGTGGCTGCAGCAATGTTCACATCCCCCTGCATCAAATCCGAGTAGGCCTTGAGTCTTGCTTCTGCCATTGCAACTGATTTCTCTGCTTGCAATTTTCTCACTTCCCGCTTATGAGTTTCTAGTAGTTTTCGTTGTTGCTCTTGCAGTGCTACAAACTTTGTTTGCTGTTCCTCTTATTTCTTTATCGACTCCAGTTCTACCCTTTTGGTTGCTACATCTGCGAGGGCATTCACGAACTTTGAGGACAGTTGTGATTTTATTGAATCACTCTCCGAGACACTAGACCAACTCAAGTCACTAAACACAGACCTAGCGTACTCATTATGCTTTAAACCTTTACAACTGTCTATGGTGTCTTCAAATCCTGAGATTTTTTCATTGATGAGATGAGTCATGTCTTTAGAAATAGCGACACAAGCGTCCACTTTCCGAACTACACTTTGGTGTGGTGCACTACATGAATTACGCAAATGTTCAAAAGCCTCTATGACCTCTCTTTCCAGTTTCAATATTTCGTCTAACATGTTTCCAAGATCTTCTTCACTGGACTCTACTTTCATATTTTGTCTACACTCTCTGACCTTGAACTTCCATCGATCGAAGCACAATTGAATCCTCTTTTCACGTCTCTTAGACTCCTGGTCCATGTAATCTAACATTCGGTCGGTGGGTTTATGTACCCGTTCAGACTTCCTCTGTCTCACAAGTAAAGTGTCTTTGTTTGTCGTTTGTTGTGTCTCGTTATTCACTGGTTCGTTGTGTTCATTATTCATCGTTGTATCATACTTTTCGTTGGATGTTGTACCATTAGCTGTATCCGTAACATCAGGCGTTGTATTGTCATCAACCTTTGACATCTTGATGAGACTGAAGTCAAGTTCTTACTATTAGTGGCTTGTTCTCCTGACCAAGTCGCTAAAGTTTTAACTTTTGTCGTTCTTTCGTTCACGTTAGGATGTACAAAGATGCTGGGCGGAAATAACGTAATATACAATCTAGTAGCCGGACCCAAATATAAGAAGATTGTCTATCCGGAATTATTTACCAAACATTGTTACACATATGTGATTAACAAACAAAATATTACAAATAAAAAAGACTTCATTAAAATTATAGTAAAATAAAAATTATGACATTTACAATTATTGTTATTTTATATATGTTAAATACCAAAGAATATTATTGATATAAACGTACATCAAATGTAATGGCAACGATGGCAGATGGCTCCCAAATGAGTTAATCAAATGACCACGCTGCTTCCACAACCGCGTCCTTAGAAATCTTGGCCAAATCTCGATCTCTTGGAATCTTGGCCGACCAAATCTCTATCTCTTGGAATCTTGGCCGGTTATCTCGTAGAAGCTTGGGAATGATCGAGGTCACCCGGAATCTTGGCCATGGCCAGGGTTAGCTTGGGCATGCCAGGATGTAAACGGCCAGGGTACGCAAGCCAGGCTGGCATGGGATTGGCATACTGCAAACATGGATTGGCCAGGCTAGGGTGGACGGCCAGGGGTAAAGATGTAAACATGGGTTGGCTAGGGTGGACGGCCAGGGTTAAAAGACCCTGACCCTGGGAGTTCCAGGATGCAAGCATGGGAAGGC